CTCTCTCTCTCTCTCTCTCTCTCTCTCTCTCTCTCTCTCTCTCTCTCTCTCCCTCTCCCTCTCCCTCTCTCTCTCTCTCTCTCTCTCTCTCTCTCTCTCTCTCTCTCTCCCTCTCTTTCTAAACCCAAAGCCACACAAAAACATCATCAACAACATAAGCAACAACAACAAACAGCAAAGGCAAATATACACCGTGCACAGGAAGTTCATGTTACCTCTGCCATAAAATGTACTTTGCAATGCCTTTTCATTACTTTATGAAGTAGGTGTACTGTACTGTTGGCCTACTTGAGATACTTTCGAAAGAAAAAAACAACAACCCAAAACAAGGGTAACTTCATTACTTGCCTATTACGTTATTACTAAACAAACAACCCTCCCGCATCTCTAGCTCTAAGAATTAATTTATCAAAGTAAGAATCGCCCAATGCAGAAAAGTGTGACTGTGAGTTCGCACTAGAGCAAAGTGTGTGTACGAGCTAGTGTGTGTTTGTGTGCGAATATATTAAGCCTTGCTCGATAATGGATAGTAGTTTTCTCATCAAATAAACTGTCACAGCATCAAACCACGAGTCGTATCACTGCATCATACTACTATGCTGCCTTGTCTATCTCCCATGCCGAATGCTCCAAGCTCGCCCGGAACGGGCACCCAATGGTTTTCTATGCTATGGGGTCGGTGGCCTAGTGGTTAGGCTTTCGGACTCGCAACCGTGAGGACGTGGGTTCAAATCCTGTCAGGGGCACGACGTTGTGTCCTTGGGAAAGGCACTTTTGCACGAATTTTCCTCACTTCAGCCAGGTGGAAATGGGTAACCGGCTGTTATAGACAGTGAAAGAACTTGTCAGTTTGAGAGTGTTTGAGCGCGTGAAATCCGCAGTTTGCACTGTAAGCTTTCCGGAAAGCAGAGAATGTTTCTGAGTATTCTTGGAGGGTCTGCTGGGGTAGCATAGTTGTAAATCGCATAGAGTATGCTGCAGAGCTATATATGGGTGCAATTATTATTATTATTATTATTATTATTATTATTATTATTATTATCATTATTATTATTATTATTATTATTATTATTATTATTATTATTATTAGCAGTATCGTTATCTTTATCATTATCATTATTAGGGCCTATAATTATCATTAGTTTTTTATGCATTGTTTTCATAGCAGGACGGCGTGCTCGGATGTTTTGATCATGTAGGAGATTTCTAATTGTCCAAACACTGATCACGGTATGAGTGGCAGCTTTGCAAGTGTTGTCAAATTTGATATGTCGTCAGAGTTCCATGCTGGACAGCAGCCTTGTTTTACCTCAGAGAAAGCAACATTCCAACGGAATTCACGTTTTCTCTCTTTCACTTTCACGGTGTGTTGGAAATAGGTAAACTATAGAAGCTAACAGTCCTCTCTGGTAGGCTCAAGTAAGTCGGGTACAGAAAGAGAAGCGAATCTTATAATGATAATAATATAATGATAGAGTGTCTGTCTATGTCTGGTGATGAACAATGCATCTGCGGAGGAAAATATATGAGAAATACAAGAAATAAGGATTAGATTGACTGCCGCATTTTGAGCAGGGAAAAGTTTCATTTCCACTTGTGGACGTACGCTGTAGTTTGTGGGTTTTTCTCTTGGCTTCAGCATTTCTAACTCTTGAATAGTAAATTGCTGACCACTCGGAATGTCGCTCTCCTATTGCAGGAGCAAGGCTGCCCCATGCCAAAGGATCAATGTTAAAGTCCTGCAGAGATATTGTCTTGTCGTATTTATGCACTTTTTAGTGTGCCAAAGTAATGCTTACCCGAGGACAGCTCATAAAAGATCACTGTCTTTGGGATTCTGATATCAGACATTCTTGAGACATGGCCAGCCCAGAGAAGTTGAATCCTTCTGCGTTTACAAAATAGACTCCCGACATTTGCCCTTTTAAAGAACTTCGGTGTCTAGTACAGGCATTATGTCCTGCCACTTGATGCCCAGAATTATCCTACAATATTTCATGTGGAGTTAATGTTTAAGCTTTTTGACATGGCTTTGGTACACTATCCATGTTTCAACACTGTACAATAGGGTTGGGAGGACAACAGCATAAAGACTTTTTAAGCTCAAATTCACATTGTGCATGATACGTCTTCATGTGTGGTGAAATACCAAACCAACGTGCCAGCATCCAGATAATAAAGAATTATCATATTATTAATATCTCATCATATTTTTACTTCATCTATTCCCAGAAGTATTACACAGAACTATTTCACAGGTGAACCCAAAATAGACAATGAAGAAAGGGGGGGGGGGGGGGTGGACATCTTAAAACGTGCATCGACCAATTCGGGGAGCAAAAGATGTTATCCAAAAAAGACGATTTGGGTTAAATTCGCAGCTGGGTTGATTGATTGTAGAGATGTTTACATCCCTATCAACACGATATAATAGACAGACTGCGTCCAACCCAACTATCAACCGAAGAAGAGAAATGCACAAAAAAAAGTTCCAACAGACAGACGGATCTACTCGAAAAAAACCCCAAAAAAACCTCCCAATATGTGCATCGAACTCATGTCTTCTGCGTGCAACGGCGTTGAGCCTTATACGGGGTGCCCACTGCGGCTGCATCGGGCCGATCGCCCGACTCGGTCGCCTGAAACTGAAAACAAACACGTTTGTTTTTGAGTCGACCGAGTCGGCCGATCAGCCCGATCGGCCGATCCTATCTGTAATGGGCACCCGCATAACCGTTAAACAACAGATGCCGGTCTTTCGCCGAAATTGTATTATTATAGTAGAGGGTTTTACGGCGCTCGCAACTGCATAAGGTCATATGAGCGCCAAGGGGTGGGTGTCAACGAGAAGTCTTTACAGGAAATCAGACTTAGACTGCTCACCTCTCTAGCTTCAACAGCACAAGGTCTGCTTCGACTATCAAGGCACCCCAAAATAACAGGTCACAAGAGAGTGACAAACATACAAAAGAAGTAGAGGAAAATGACAATAGTAAGGATCAGGAAAGAAAAAGCAGCAGTTCCCTGTTGTAGATCAGGCACAGTTATGAGCGTGACATGAATCAGCCCATTTACAATTCTACTATGCTTGAACGAGAAATGTCCCCCCTTTGGGAATGGCCTAAAGACACTGCAGTCAGTGGCACTGCCCCCGGGGGGGGGGGGGGGGGTTCGCCGAAAGATCGCTGAAAACATGACATCGCTTGGAAACCGCGTCCAACACATTATTCAACATGATAAGTCACTGATAGGGCAGGAGAGTTTTCACCGCCAACACTCAATAATACAATAAAAGT